ATTATCTTGGAGTTTTTAGTTTGTGAAAAAATTATAATTACTCTATATAGTCCTTCTTTTCTTGCTGTTTCTGTATTAGTTCAACAGTAATAAAGATCATCCATCAATGTAAATCTGCTCTTGCATTGTTATACTGTTGTAACATGAGAGTGGTAGAGTGTAATAGAGCTCTATATACATCATCAGGAAAAGCATTATTTCTAACATGAGCGTGGTGCCCTGCTGGAGACACTACAAAGAAAGTTAAAACAGATTGTCAAGCTTTTCTGATCATTGTCAGTAAAACAAAATTTTTGACATACATAAGCTCTATTTTTGTTTGTTGGGTTTGTTTTACACAGACTTTAACTCAGTAAGACTTTTCTGAATCAATAAGATACTATAACAGGGTCTTTTGGGATTCAGAAAGACTTAGTATAGCAAAATAGCTGTATTTTTTAAAAGTCGAAATTGTCACCTGGCACAAATACTATCATATTTAGGAATCTTTAACATTGAGAAAAAGCAAAGGAAAAAAAAAACCTGACCCCCCTCCTCCCTATAGTTAAATAGAACTGGAAGAAACCTCAAGTGGCTTGCCAATATCCAAGATGATTGAGAAATAGTTTCATGAATCACTATTAGGTGCTTAGGAGCTGTATTAAATTGTAAGAAAGTTTAGATTGAAAGGAATGTGGAGGAGGGATGGATGCTAATACATTTATTGAGTATCTAAGTAAGTGTCAGATAATTTTATATACATTCCCTAACTTAATCCTTATAACAACTCCGCAAGGTTAGTATATGTTTATTTAGGTTGAATAATTAGACCAGACACCTGCAGCTAATGAATAATGGAGTTGGGATTTGAATCCAGTTTTGTCTCTCTCCAAAGCCAATGCCTTTATTACTGTGCTGTCTCCTCAGAAATTATGCCATAGAACCCAGATTTCTTTCAGTCCAAGTTTTTGTTAAAGTGAACTTTGGAAAAATCTGGCTCACTTAAGCTCCAGGTGCCTGTCTCTCTGTCTGTCTATATATTATTGTTGCTTGGACACAAAGACTAAAGGTTTTCACCATGTAAATGAAATGTTTCCTAGACAGGGGCTTGCCTGGTTATTGAGTAAAGCTTTTGTATTGGCTCTAACGTCATCCTTTCTCTACCAATGCAAATTCTTCAGAGTACCCAAATTTTAAATAATGGAGAAATAGACATCTAAGAAAAATCACATTATAGATAGGTGTATTACTTATAGGTATATAGATAGATAGAATAGATATATAAAAGCAATTTCTTCTCCAAAGAAGATGCAGATATTGATTTGCTCTTCACAGTGACTCATTTTGGGCTTCTTAATCATAACCAAGAAAAATCTTTTATGGTATCTTTCTATCAGGATAACAGGAGCTCCGTTTTATAGGACGAAATTGCTAATTGAGCCTGAGATCTTATCAGAAAGGCTAGCCTTGAGTTAATCCTATCAATTTATTTTATAAATGAGCAACTAAAGCTCAGAGAGGCAAAGTGACCTGCCACAGAATTAAAGGCAGGTTTCCTGAATGCTAATCCAGTGTTCTTCCTGCTACTTTGGGATAATCTTTCTAAACTTAATACCCTGTTTGACAATATGTATTAAATAAGACAGCCTCTTGACTTCAATGGCACATATAACTTGCAGAGATCACCATCAGGTCCTGTCTGAGATTTGTAGAGATTTGCCTGAATCCAGAGAAGCATGCTGTCCTCTATCCCTTACATGTGTTAGGACTCAGCTGAGAACACAGAATGGCCCAGAAGAAAGGTTTTCATCCTGGAAAAGTGGAAAGTGGACATATGACTTATATTTTGAAAAATAAATCTAATTCTTTAAGCTTCAGAAGCTATTTGGGGTCCTTTTATCCAAAGCTCCCAAGGCTTGGTTAATTTCTAAATTTTGTCAGATCAAAGGGACCTATAAGTATGTACCTAGATTAATAATACTGGCTCTGATTACAGATGTTAAAGGGTTGTATGGTGAGAAAGAGAAAGGTGTTCTCTGGTGAGTCAGGCCAATACCCAAATGTTGCATAATAACCAGACCATTTTAAAAGTCTGTGAGGTTGTTAAGCAAGAAGTGTTAATAGCTCATTTTATGATTCAGAAAATGAAAATAAAATAGTTTGCCATATTTCTCCAAAGACTCACAAGTATCTCACAGATTTGGAAATAGAATCCAGATTTCCTGGCTCTTCTTAGCCTTTTATTTAGTCCATTAGTCTCACATTGTGTAAAGTATGTCTTTGATATTTTAGACAATTTATGTTACTTCCATTTTTATCACTATTCTAGTTCAGATTCTCAGTACCTCTCAGTGATTATGACAGTAGCCTGTTATCCCTGTTTTGGGCCTCTCTTTTCTAATTTGTATTCCTGCTAAATTCAGATCGTAATATACCATTCATTATAAGTCATTATTGCATCTCTGTGGCCTACCAGATTGAGTCCAAATCCTATGCAGAGCTATATTACTGGGTCTTAAATGCATTTCCAGCCCTGTACTTCAGCCACTGTGGTAC